GGCCGGCAGTCATTCCGTTCATATGGACTCAGCAGGCTGCACAACACACAGCACATTCAGGTTCTGACTTTTGAAATTTTCTGTATCTTCCCCAAATGGTTTTGATTCTAGGCTGATTATCCATAGGTATGGAATATGTAGCTATGAAAGGTCAGTAACATTACCTTTACATAAATGGGATGCTGGCATCAATAGCTTTTAGATTTTTTCTTTTTTTTTTATTTTTTATTGAGCTCTACATTTTTCTTTGTTCCCCTCAATGCCTCTCCCCTCCCCTTTCAACCCTTCCACAAGGTCCTCATGATCCCAATTTACTCAGGAAATCTTGTCTTTTACTACTCCCCATGTAGATTAGATCTATGTAAGTCTCTCTTAGTGTCCTCATTGTTGTCTAACTTCTCTGGGATTGTGGTTTGTAGGCTGGTTTTCTTTGCTTTTTGTTTAAAAACCACCTATGAGTGAGTACATGTGATAATTGTCTTTCTGGGTCTGGGTTACCTCACTAAAATAGCTCCATCCATTTTCCTGCAAAATTCAAAATGTCGTTATTTTTTTCTGCTGTGTAGTACTCCATTGTGTAAATGGACCACATTTTCCTTATCCATTCTTTGGTTGAGGGGCATTCAGGTTTTTTCTAGGTTCTGGCTATGACAAACAATGCTGCTATGAACATAGTTGAGCACATGTCCTCGTGGCACGATTGAGCATCCTTTGGATATATACCCAAAAGTGGTATTACTGGGTCTTGAGGAAGGTTGTTTCCTAATTTTCTGAGAAATTGCCACGCTGACATCCAAAGGGTTGTACCAGCTTGCATTCCCACCAGCAATGCAGAAGTGTTTCCTTTACCCCACAACCTCTCCAGAATAAGTTGTCATCAGTGTTTTTGATCTTGGCCATTCTTACATGTGTAAGATGAAATCTCGGAGTTATTTTGATTTGCATTTCTCTGATGACTAAGGATGTTGAACATTTCCTTAAGTGTCTTTCAGCCATTTTAGATTCCTCTGTTGAGAGTTCTATGTTTAGGTCTGTACTCCATTTTTTTATTGGATTGTGTGATCTTTTGTTGTTCAATTTCTTGAGTTCTTTATATATTTTGGAGATCAGACCTCTGTCTAATGTGGGGTTAGAGAAGATCTTTTCCTATTCTGTAGGCTGTCGTTTTGTCTTGTCGACCGTGTTCTTGTCTTTACAGAATCTTCTCAGTTTCAGGAGGTCCCATTTATTAATTGTTTCTCTCAGTGCCTGTGCTGCTGGGGTTATATTTAGGAAGTGGTTCCCTGTGCCAATGTGTTGAAGTGTACTTCCCACTTTCTCTTCTATAAGGTTCAGTGTGGCTGGCTTTATGTTGAGGTCTTTGATCCATTTGGGCTGGAGTTTTGTGCATGGTGATAGATATGGGTCTATTTTCATTCTTCTACATGTTGATATCCAGTTATGCAAGCACCACTTGTTAAATATGCTTTCTTTTTTCCATTTGATATTTTTTGCTTCTTTGTCAAAAATCAGGTGTTTGAATGTGTGGATTGATATCCGGGTCTTCAATTGGGTTTCATTGGTCCTCCTGTCTGTCCTTATGCCAATACCAGGCTGTTTTCAGTACTGTAGCTCTGTAGTAGAGTTTGAAATCAGGGATTGTGATGTCTCCAGAAGTTCTTTTATTGTACAGTTGCTTTTAGATTTTCTTAAGTGCTTTGTTACCAGCACTATGCCACACACACATATGCATACACACTTTTGCCAACTTGTGAATACTTAGTAATACATGTTTATAAAAATGTTATGTGGTAAAAATATGCCTACACCTGAAAGAACTCATTCAGGACTACAAAATAAAAATGATAAGCATGCAAAAGCATCACTGAGGTAACGATGTAGTTCTGTGGCGTAGCACCTTCATAGCATATACAGGGCCCTGAATTTGGTCCCCATTACTTCAGAAACAAAACAAATACCATATAGCAAAGACATTGCCCTGTACGAATTGAATAGCCCAGAGTTTTCTTTTAGGGATAGTAAGAAGTATTGTGTCTGAGAATATGGTGATAACTAAAGCCAAGGAAAGTATTTAGAGTTTTATAGAATCTACTGTACATATTGCCTACTTCACCAGATTCCTTTATCCCTTTTTAGCGCTTATTTTTGTACTCTTTTAAAACTTAGCATTCAATGTATTAGTCTTCATCTTTGCATTTTCCTACTCTTTTTGTTGACCCCCCCCACTTTCCAACTCATGTCCCATCACTTCTCTTTTGTCCTACCCCAATAGTCCCCACCCACTTCATGCCACATGCATTCTTTTACTCTTTTTTTCTTTCCCTCCTTCCTTAACACCCCAATTTCCTCACACTCCCCTTTCTAGTGTTATAACTTCATGCACACATATACACACATACAAAAATGAAAATCTAGGATTTGGGGGTTAGGCAGATGGTCCAGTCAGTAAAGTGCTTAGAGGGCAACAGAACAACCTGAGTTTCATCCTCAGAACCAACATTTTAAAAATGCCAGATACACTTGTAATCCCAGTGCTGGGGAAGCAAGTGGATGACTGGCTGGGTGGCCTGCCAGCCTGCTCTAATCCATAACCCCAGGTCACTGTAGAGATGCTGTCTCAACAACAAGGTGCTTGAGGCACCCTACCAGAGTTCTCTTCTGATCTCCACATGTGCACAGGAACGTTTGCACACAAATATACACATAATCTAGGATCCACATAAGAGAGAAGACATACAGTATTTTGTCTTTCTGAGCCTGGGTTCTTATGCTTGGTATGCTAATTTAGATTTCCATCTGTTTTCCGCACATGTCATGATTTCATTTTTCTTTATGGCTGAATAAGTTCAGTTGTGTGAATGTACCACATTTTCTTTAACCATTAATCGGTGTATGGATATAGAGGGTGTTTCTACTTCCTGACTATTATGAATAGTACAGTAATAGAAATGGATGTTCAAGTATCTCATATTCATTTTCCATACTGGCTACAGCCGTTTACTGTCCAATAAGCAGTTGATAAGAGGTTTTCTTCTCTCAAATACTTTCCGGCATTTGTAGTCTTCTCTCTCTCTCTCTCTCTCTCTCTCTCTCTCTCTCTCTCTCTCTCTCTCTCTCTCTCTCTCTCTCTCTCTTGTTTATGCTTTATTTTTATTTTATGTGTATGGATGATTTGCCTGCATATATGTTTGTGCACCACATGTAAGGTACCCCAGAGGCCATAAAAGGAGGTCAGATTCCCTGCTACTGGGATTACAAAGGATTGTAAGCCACCAGGTGACTGCTGAGTCCTGTGCAAGAGCCGCAAGTGCTCCTAAGTGCCGAGCCATCTCTAGCCCTATATTTTTTAATGTTGGTCATTCTGATTGGGTGATATGAAGTATCAAAGCAGTTTGAATTTTCATTTTCCTGATGGCTAAAGATGCCAAACACTTTGTAAAATAGTTATTAGCATTTGTATTTCTTCTTTTGAGAACTTTTTGTTGTTTGTTACGTTATTGGTTGATTAGATAATTTGTTTTTGTGATGTTTAATTTTTGCAGTCCTTTAGATCCTCACCTGAAATTTAGCTGGCAGAGATTTTCTCAATTCTCTATATTATGTGCCAGCAGTTTCTATTGCTGTGCAAATGCTTTTTGCAATTTATGCAATCCCATTTGTCAATTCTTGGGGTTATTGCCTGTGCTAGTGAAATCCCTTATAGAAAGGTCTTGCCTATCCTTATGTCCTGAAGTGTTTTCTCTTTAGCAATTGCAGAATTTCAGTTCTAACAATGAGGTCTTTGGTTCATTTTGGATTTAATTTTGAGGCGGGTGAGAGATTCAGATTTAATTTTATTCTTCTGCATATGTAAATGCAGTTCTCAAAGTAGCCATAATGAATGCCAAAAAGTCAAGTAATCCCTTACAGTATATTAAAATAAGTCTAGAAACCAACAGTAAGAGAAACTATACAGATACTTGGAGACTGAAAAATATAATTTTGAATGTATTGCGGAAATCAGGGAGGAAATTTTTAAATTCTTAGAATAAAATGAAATCATAGCACAACCTACAAGAACCTCTGGAACACAGGTAACTAAGCATTTCTCAAGGGAAAGCTTATAGCTGTAAGTGCTTACTTTAAAAGTTCATAGTAGGATCTGTAGAGATGATTCAGTGGTTATGCACTTACTGATTTTGCAGAGAACCCAGGTTCTGTTCCCAGCTGCCACATGGTGTCTCAGTGCCATCTGTAACTGCAGTTCTGGAGGACTCTGTCCTCTTCCGGCCTGTGAGCAGAGGCATGCATGTGGTGTATTTATAACCAGACAAGCAAAACACCCATATACATAAAAAAAACAACAAAACAAAACCCCACAACTTTTTAAAAACAGTGGTCTCAAATAAACTAATGGTGCAGCACAAGTTTCTAGAAACACAGTAAATGACAAGAAATAATAAAGATTAGGACAGAAATAAATGAAATACAGACTAAAAGAACGACACATAGAAACAATGAAATAAAGCTGAACTTATAAACAAGATTGACAAAGCCTTAGACAAACCTAAAAAAAAAAAAGGCTGAAATTACTAAAATCAGAGATGAGCCAGGTTTTGTTACAATTGACTTGAGTGAAATCCAGGAAAGATCAAGGGGACAGATCAATGTGGAAAACTTTGAAAATGTGCATCTTTGTCCTTTAAGGCATAATTCAAATACCACATGTCTTAGGGGAAGCGTCTTTAACACCCTGCATAACTACTTTTAACAGTTAAGTACAAAATAAAAAGAGAAGGTCATAGGTTAGGTAAACTTCGGTGCTCACTTATCCACTATGCTTTTATTGTTCCCTTATTTGTGCTTTTAGTGAGAAGGGAACCCAGGGGGTTGTAGCGAATGTTTATTCAAAGGGAACTCCAGAGTGCTGATGGGAATAGAACTTAGCAGGATGAATTGCGATGTGAAGAACCATGGTTGTTATCTAATGATTTTGCTAACCTGATGTGTTCATTTTAAAGGAAAGCCCTGAAGAAAGGACAATAGACCTCACATCTATTCGGGTAAATAAATTTGCTTTCATCACCGATAAGGATTTCATGTAGCTTAATCAAGAGATTTTTGTATGCCTTGACTTCCCTAGTCTTAGTTCTACTGGCTGCAAAAAAGGGAAAATAAAATGTTTGCCCTTATAATGCTGTCAAATAACTTTCATCCAGATTTATTGGCATAGACCATCGTTGACTCTAAGATATAACTCTTCATAGTCTGACTCTTGCTATTCTAATCACTCATTGTTTCATGTAATAGTAAATACAGTTGTATGTATCTAAAGTAAACCGGATGTAAGAACACTGGATCCAGTGTTCTCATTATCTTAGAAAATCTTCCTGTGCACACAGCAAAGACTGTGAGACATAGTTTCTGTGTTACCTACTTTAGATACTGAGTTTCTAGAGTACGAGAATGGTGGCACTTTTCCACTTCACAGTACTTTGCTCTGATGAATGATTTGCCAATATAATTAAAGCAATATTTAGAGCACTTGAATTAATTTAGTGACTTAGCTCTAATCATGAACCTTCTAAGTTGATGTTTGCAATATGTATTCAGAATGTTGTAAACTAGGCAGGAAACAAGGACTCATGTTCAATAAGTAATTTTTTCTTTTTTGTACCTGCAGGGGAAGAAATGGAACTGGTATTTGGACTATTTATTTTCAGAGGGTTTTCAAGGCCTGGAACTTTTCATAAAAAGTTGTATCTGTCGTTGTGCTAGACCGCAAACACAGAACAGAAGCAAAATGAGTAAACATTAGACGAATGTTGGCATGAGCAAAGTGGACACGCTGACCAAATTCCTCATTGCAAGAGAGGCCAAGCAGCTCAACGTGAGGTTCCATACTATTTCACAAGCCAGCAGCTGTGTTCAAGGAGTACGTAGTCTATCCTGCTCAGGAGAACCTTTGTGTGACTGACGTAATTTTTTAAGCATTCAGATTTTTAGCTAACTTCTTCTCGGCTTTCTAGTGGGAATTTTTATTTGCTCTGTTAGTAAAAGAGAGCAAGTGATATAAGTTACTCTGCAGACATTCTCATGCAAAACATGCTGTCATCTCTGAAGTCCTGCGGATATTTTCTGGTTTTCTCATGTGAACTCCAGCAGCAGCAGTGAGTTACTTATAATAAGATGCAGCACGGGTGCAGCCCATTCCCGAGAAGCTGATACTATCTGGGCCTGCACTGGCAGTATTGTATGTGGAAGGAAGGGTAGGGGATGAAAAAAAAATCTATGATTTTATTGGTTTAATTTCCTGAAACCATTTTTATTATTTGAGTATATATGTGTATGTATATATTTATGTGTATGTTCAGATTTCCAGTCCTAAATAAATTAACTTCAGTTTTACCTTTAGGAGTAATTTTTTTCATTGATTTTTATTGAGCTATATATTTTTCTCTGATCCCTTCCCTTTTACTCCCCTCCCCTTCAACCCTCTCCCATGGTCCCCATGCTCCCAATTTACTCAGAAGATCTTGAATTTTTCTACTTCCTATGTAGATTAGATCCATTTATGTCTCTCTTAGCTCTCTTAGGGGCCTCTTTGTTGTCTACGTTCTCTGGACTGTGGATTGTAGGCTGCTTTTCTTTGCTTCATGTCTAAAAGCCACTTATGAGTGAGTACATATGATATTTGTCTTTCTGGGTCTGGGTTACCTCACTCAGTATGATGTTTTTTTAGATCCATTCATTTGCCCGCAAATTTCAAGATGTTATTTTTCTCTGCTGTGTAGTACTCCATTGTACAAATGTACTACATTTTCCTTATCCATTCTTTGGTCAAGGGGCATTTAGGTTGTTTTTAGGTTCTGGCAATGACAGACAATGTTGCTATGAACATAGTTGAGTACATGTCCTTGTGGTATGATTGAGCATCCTTTGGATATATAACCAAAAATGGTATTACTGGGTCTAGAGGAAGGTTGTCTCCTAATTTTCTGAGAAATCGTCATACTGATATCTAAAGGGGCTGTACCAGCTTGCACTCCTCCAGCAATGCAAAAGTGTTTCCTTTTCCCCACAACCTCTCCAGCATACGTTGTCCTTGGCCATTCTTAGAGTGTAAGATGGAATCTCAGAGTTATTTTGATTTGCATTTCTCTGATGACTAAGGATGTTGAACATTTCCTTAAGTGTTGTTCAGCCATTTTAGATTCATCTGTTGAGCGTTCTCTGCTTAGGTCTGTACCCCATTTTTTTATTGAATTATTTGTTGTTTTGATGACCAATTTCTTGAGTTCTTTGTATATTTTGGAGATCAGACCTCTATGATGTGGGGTGGTGAAGATCTTTTCCCATTCTGTAGGCTGCCATTTTGTCTTGTTGACTGTATCCTTGTCTTTACAGAAGCTTCTCGGTTTCAGGAAGTCTCATTTATTAATTGTTGTTCTCAGTGTCTGTGCTGCTGGGTTATATTTAGAAAGTGGTCTCTTCTGCCAATGTGTTCGAGTCTACTTCCCACTTTCTGTACTATGAGATTCAGTGTGGTTGGTTTTATGTTGAGGTCTTTGGTCCATTTGGACTTGAGTTTTGTGCATGGTGATAGATATGGGTCTATTTTCATTCTTCTACATGTTGATATCCAGTTATGCCAGCACCATTTGTTGAAGATGCTTTCTATTTTTCCATTTTATATTTTTGCTTCTTTTCAAAAATCTTAGGTGTTTGTAGGTGTGTGGATTGATATCTAGGTTCTTGGATTTGGTTCCATTGGTCCTCCTGTCTGTTTTTATGACAATACCAGGCTGTTTCAGTACTGTACTGTAGTAGAATTTGAAGTCAGGGATTGTGGTTTTCTTTATTGTATATGATTTTTTTGGCTACCTTGGGTTTTTTACTTTTCCATAAGCAAAAACTCAATAAGTTGAGTATTGTTCTTTCAAGGTCTGTGAAGAATTTTGCTGGTATTTTGATAGGCATTGCATTGAATCTGTAGATTGCTTTTAGTAAGATTGCCATTTTTACTATTTTAATTCTACCTACCCAAGAGCATAGGAGATCTTTCCATTTTCTGGTGTCCTCTTCAAAGAAAGAAATTATCATACAGGTTCTTGTCATACAGGTGTTCCACTTGTTTGGTTAGAGTTACTCCAAGATATTTTATGTTATTTGCAGCTTTTGTGAAGGGTGATGTTTCTCTGATTTTGTTCTCAGCCCATTTGTCATCTCTGTAGAAGAGGGTCACTGACTTTTTTCAAGTTAACCTTGTATCTTGAAGGTGTTTTTGAGTTGTAGAAGTTCCTTGGTAGAATGTTTGGGGTCACTTATGTAAACTGTCATATCATCAGCAAATAGTGAGAGTTTGACTTCTTCTTTTTTGATTTGTATCCCCTTGACCACCTTTTGTTGTCTTACTGACAACAAAACTAGAACCTCAAGTACTATATTGAATAGATATGGAGAGAGTGGACAACCTTGTCTTGTTCCTGGTTTCAGTGGGATAGCTTTGAGTTTCTTTCCATTTAGTTTGATGTTGACTTTTGGCTTGCTGTATATTGCCTTTATTATGTTTAAGTATGTTTCCTGCATCCCTGATCTCACCAAGACCTTTATCATGAAGGGGGTGTCAATTTTATCGAAGGCTTTTTCGACGTCTATTGAGATGACCATGTGGTTTTTATTTTTCAGCTTGTTTATATGGTAGATTATGTTGACAGATTTTCGTATGTTGAACCATCCCTGCATCTCTGGGATGAAGCCTGCTTGACCATGGTGGATAATTTTTCTGATGTATTTTTGGATTCGTTTTGCCAGTATTTTATTGAGTATTTTTGCATCGATGTTCATGAGTGAGATTGGTCTGTAATTCTCTTTCTTAGTAATGTCTTTGTGTGAATTGGGTATCAGGGTATAATTGTAGCCTTGTAAAAAAAAGTTTGGCTCAGTTCCTTCTGCTTCTATTGTGTGAAACAATTTGAGGAGTATTGGTATTAGTTCTTCTTTGAAAATGTTGTAGAATTCTGTGTGAAAACCATCTGGTCCTGGGTTTTTTTTCTTTCTTTTTTAAAATATTTATTTATTATGTATATAGTGTTCTGTCTACATGTATGCCTGCTGGTCAGGAGTGCCAAATCTTATTACAGATGGTTGGGAGTGACCATGTGGTTGCTGGGAATTGAGCTCAGGACCTCTGGAAGAGCAAACAGTGTTCTTAACCACTGAGCCAACTCTCCAGCCCCTTTTTTGTGTAGGGTGGAGATTTTTGATAACTTTCTATTTATTCAGCAGTTATAGGTCTATTTAACTTGTTTATCTGGTCTTGATTTAATTTTGGTAAGTGATATATATCCAGAAAATTGTCCATTTCCTTAAAGTTTTCCAATTTTGTGTAGTACAATCTATTCTGTTGATTACAGCTCTCAATTTGATTATTTCCTGCTGTCTAGTTTCTCTTGGGTGAGTTTGCTTCTTCTTGTTCTAGACTTTTCAGGGTTTTTTGTTAACTCTCTAGAGTGGAATTTTTTTCAGCTTTTTTATGTAGACATTTAGTGCTATGAACTTTCGTCTTAACACTGCTTTCATTGTGTCCCATAAAATTTTGTATATTGTGTGGTCATTTTCATTGAATTTTAGGAAGTCTTTAACTTTTTCCTTGACCTATTGGTGATTTTGGTGAGCATTATTTAATTTCCATTTGTTTGAGGGCTTTCTGAATTTGGTGTTGCTCTTGAATTCTAATTTTATGCCATGGTGATTCAATAAGATACATGGGGTTATTCCAATTTTTTTGTATCTGTTCAGATTTGCTTTGTTCCTGAGTATGTGGTCAATTTTTGAGAAGATTCCATGAGGTGCTAACTAAGAAGAAGGTATGTTTGGATGGAATGTTCAATAAATATCTGTTAAGTCCATTTGAGTCATAACATCTAGCACTTGAGATTTTTTCTTCCATCTCTTGTATTCTGCTGTTTATGCTTGCTTTTGTGGTTCCTGATCGTTTTCCCATATTTTCCGTTTCTAGAATTCCCTTAGTTTATGTTTTCTTTATTGTCCTATTTTGGTTTTCAAGTCTTGAATCTTTTCTTACATCTGTTTGATTGCTTTTTCTTGGTTTTCTTTAAGGGATTTGTTGATTTCTTCCAATATTTTGTCTTTTCCTCCATTTATTTGAAGAAATTTTTCATTTTCTTTTTAAGTGCCTCAAACATTCTCCTAAAGTTATTTTTTAGGTCATTTTCTTGTTTCGTCTATATTTGGTTGTTCAGGTCTTGTTGTTGTAGGGCCAGTAGTTTTTTGTTTTGTTTTGTTTTGTGGTGTCATGTTGCTCTTTGTGGTGTTGTGTGTGTTCTTACCTTGTCTTTTCCTCTGATTGGTGTAGTTGGGGCTGTGTCTCTGGTGATCAATCTTCCAGATGTCAGTGGATCCAAGGGTCAGTGCTCTTTGTGGTGCATTCAGGACTATGGTTCCAGCCACCCAGGAGGTCACTTGGTGTTCCCCAAGGTCCCTCTGCACTCCCCAGGGTCACTCTGCAATCCCATATGTTGTTTATGCCTGCTCCCACGGAAGTCACTTACTTGGGCCAGCTCCAGCTGAGTTCACTGTCTCTGACCTGCTCCCACAGAGGTGGCTGGCTGGGGTCTGCTCCTGCGGAGGTCTTGTCTCAGGTCTGCTCCAGAGGAGGTGGCTGGCTTGGGACTGCTCCCATGGAGGTCCCTGGCTTGGGCCAGTCCCAGAGACATCTCTGGCTTGGGCCTGCCCCCTTGGCAGTTGTTCCCTTACACCTGCTACTTTGGAGGTCACTGACTCTGGCCTGTTTTCTTGGTGGTTGCTTCCTCGTACCTGCTTCTGTGGAGGTTGCTTGCTTGGGGCCTGCTTCCGTGGAGGTTGCTGGCTTGGGCCTGCTCCGGTGGAAGTTGCTGGCTCAGACCTCATGAGTAATTCTGAAGATTAAAAAACTCCATAATAGGGACATTTTTTTTCTGAAAATTCATTGTAAATTTTGTTTCACCACTACTGAACAGCTTCCATTTAATATATTCACATTGAGAATAACATCTGAATTTTCAGTGGAGACTCTGAATCAAAAGGGACTGGACAGGTGTTCTACAAGCTCTAAGAGACCAAAGATGCCAGCACAGACTACTGTACCCAGTAAAACTATCAATCCCAATCTCCAGAAAAAGAAAAACTTTCCACAGTAAAAACAAATTTAAGCAATTTCTGTTTACCAATGCAGCTTTACAGAAGGCACTAGAAGCAAAAATTTACTTCAGTCTGAAGAGAAGAATATACCCAAGAGATCACAAGGAATAAATAATCCTAGAACAGGTGGTCCAAATGAAGGGGGGTTCCTACACCATCACGATGA